TACAAATAACAAACTTACTTTGGCAAAATTGCAGAACGAGGCTTTACTTTAACAAGAGTGATTCCACCAGCACCAGTTATTCAACATGAGCCACCTTTTTACCCATTTACTTATGTGCAGTAAAGTCTGAAAACACAACCACCCTCTCCGTTCCCTCAAAGCACAACTATTAATGCTTAAGGGTCAAGTTCTGGTCCGCTAAGTGTTGGCAGAGTGGAGGGACGCACTAGGCTCCATTGCAGGGTCTTTCCACTTCCCTCGCATAACTGAGATCAGAATTTGGCCTTAACTTCTTTATATAACAGAGTGCCAACAGCTAGATTCTCCTATTTCTCACACCAGTCGGTCTGGGCACTCCTGGAAATGAAGTCCTGACTAGTGTCAGTGAATATATCAGAATCAGATTTTCAGTAGTTATCGCTGTCTCACTGGCCTTGAAATGGAAACTGCTGCCACTTTTATACTCGGACTGAAAGCTTGTCTAGCATCCCTGTAACTTAATTAAGCATCCTCTCCATCATCTACCAAACTGCTGCTTAATACATTCTGGCAACATGCCTCCCGTGTATCGTAGGAGATATGGCAAGGCAATGCACGGAGCTTATCATGGGCTATTAATTACTTCAGCATAAATAACATTCTCTCTTATCTCAGCTTCATGACCCATTATTTCTGATGGAAATATATTCATAATAACAAACAGAGAGAAAACAACGAGGGGGCAAATCTAAGCCTGAACATGACTGACAGCTCTTGCAATAAGTGGAAGTTAAAGCCAGGCAAACTCAAATGAAAAGTAAAGATGCATTTTTTAACAGCCAGCTTCATTAGCCCCTGCAACCAACTATCAAGAAAAGAGTTGGATTTTTCATCCTTAGATATCTTCAGATCAAAATGGGAAACATAGTTTAGTCGAAACTAATGGACCCAGTAAGCATAAGCATGGAAACTCCTATACAGGAGAAAAAAAGCATAAAAGGCATGCAGGTCAACTTGTCTATATACGAGCACTGGTAACACAGGACAAGAACAGAACTGTTAAAAGAAATGGGTCTGGAAGAAAAACTGATGCAATAAAATGACTTGACTTGCAGGCCTCCCCTCCACCCCAATCTCAAAGCTTTCAAACAAAACCAAGCAGAACAAAAAAGCTTTTACTGTAAGCAGTTCTCCCATCATGCCTCCTCTCACAGCTCATTCTCTCTCCTGCATTAGAAAGGTGTTTCCCAACTATTTTGCCACAAGGAGAAGAATGGAGAAGGAACCAAAAAAATAGAGCTTTTGTTTACTTGAAAACTCTCATTCATGATCCTAGAATGGAAACTGAAACCTGAAATTAAATTACTTTCATGACTGTGCGCTGCTGAAGGTTATGTGATGTGTTTGTGTTACGCGTGCAGGGGTTTGGCTGTTTGGTGGTGGAGCAGTACTTGAATATGTAGGTTTGCCTGTTAGACAATACCCACATTTACGTCTGCATGAAGGCACACATATTCCAGAAGAATAATATGGCTCTCAGGTGGTACTTTAATATGCAGAATTCAGGTATGCAAGTTTGTGTGTAGGTGTGTTTGTGAATAAATGCACACACTTTGTGTAAACACAATATGGATAGCTCCTGAGAGCTACTGCTGTGCGTGTGGCAGGATAGCTGGCTATTTTATGTACACGGACACTTAACACAAGTGTATACTATTGCGGATGGATACTGTTGTTGAATTCTGCTCATCATTGATACATTTGTAAGGCAGATGTAATTACGCAACATTATTGATATGTATGTTTAGCTCGTTTCCTAGGAACATTATATAAACGTGAACAGGTATTTGCACACAATACCTGCACAAGCGTGCTTACAAAGTATAAACGTTTCTTGTGGAGTACTGAATGTACAGAGGTTGATGAGTGTAGAGTATATACTAGGTATTTATGTGGGTGGATATATTTCAACTCACATATGAGCTGCAGACTAGTATTTAAACCTTCATTACAGCAGAGTGGGCCTATTATGTTTTTATTTCCACAGTTTATTGTCCTGCACATGCTTTGGGAGTGGTGGGAAAACGGATGTCATTTTCAGAGACTGTATTTCTGGAAGAGGTTCTCTCTCCGACTTTCAGAAAAGTTCAACATGCTCAATAAATTAAATCGCTCTTTGGGATGCCTTTCAGGAAAAGGGGAACATAAACATTCCTGGGGCCCTTCTGAAATGCTTTGGAAAGGGGAGGACTTGACTGCATCACCAAAAAATAGGTAACTGATTGCCACGCTACCCAACATGAAAATCTGGTTACATATCAAATAGAAGGCTCGTTTGTTACATATCAAATATAAGGCACATTCTGCTGTGGAGATACTCTTCCAGGTCCTCTCAGCTAATTAAAAAAACCACAGGAGAATGTTTTCCCCTATTTTACAGAAGTCAGGGAAGTTCTCTCCTTATTGCTTGCACTGATGCTGTTTAAAGCATCTATTCAACAAGGTACTTAGCTATATGTGCAATTTTCAAACATATAAATAGACCATGGAAGTCAACAGAGTACACAGCTGATTAAGGGCTGTACTAAAGACAGGAGAAATACCCTTCTTGTCTTAACTTCCATGCATTGTAATGGCTTTGCTGCCCTCCTGACCCTCAACCTCACCTCTCACCACACACCATTGAGCAGTTATTGCGCCAGCAATACTTGATGTGCAACAACAAAAATTCATAAAATATAGGATACGTGATTTCACAGAACTGACAGCGTTAGCAAAAAGCAGTTTTGCATAATGAAATTTCCAGGACAGTGAACAGCTGAAATCCCCTTTTGACGATTTGAAGATGGCTAGCTTCACTCTGGGGGGAAAGAGAAAAGTGCAGGTGCAACCTGGCGCCATCTTCCAAGCTCACCATCTCTAGGAAACATAGGGAACCCAGCAAGCCCTCTCTCACCTGCTGAATTGAACTGGGCAAGTCAGCTCTCTGGGCTGAGCTTATATAACCTCTCTCTGAGGGGCTGAAACTGCCTCTGCCTTGCACAGATCGGTTGCAGTTTCCTTTTCCATTACGCTCCCAGACGTCAGCTGCAGAATGAAACATTCTGAAAAACGATTCTGACGTTCTTTTCACCGAGGAAGGGCAAGAAGCGAGGGTCGGAGAAAAAGCACAAACCTTTCTAGGAAGCCTCTCCCACTTTTTCTCCTTGCTTTCTTCCCCCTTTTCTCCCCTGCTCTTCTGAGGCCTAGTATGGAAAAAGTGGAAACTGAGCAGAAAAACTAAAGACAGGCTTTTTTGAAGAATACTGTTTCTCCTCAAGGCTACAAGATGCTTTCTAGAACTGATGAGCGTTTCTAATGAAGTTACTTCATTTCAAAATGTACTGTATAAGGTAATGGTAATCCTTACGTCCTAGAGGTCAAGCTGACTGCGGGTTCTTAATACAGTGTTAAATACAACACAGGCATGTCATATTCACTTCTCCAAACCTCTTTGAAAGAAATATAACTCTCATTTATCTGCATTATAACATTAGGTCTCTAATTAAATGCCATTTCTGATCCATGTAGATACTATTCTTCTCTTTGTTTACATGCCAAAAATATCATTGCTTTCTCTGTTTTATACTTATACCAAGAGATAAAAACACATTCAAGACACTTAGTGTGCAGGTCAGTCCATCTCTACTATAACGAATATTTATTGCACAGATATACCTAATTAGATATACCTATATATTCCTATATAGATATAGGATATTTATACCATAGATATACTTCCAAAATGCAAACTGATTTTCGTACATTATTTATTCTTCTAGGAATTAAGTTCTGTTTTCATTAAGAAGTAATACTGCAGGTATATTGTTTTTTTCTGCCAAATTCTGTGGGGGAAGGAAAGACGTTCTTCCTCCAAAAGGCAAATTGTTCCCCATGCCGTTCAAATTTCTGGAATTTTACGTCTCTAGGGCTAGCTTTCTCCATCCCTTTTCAGCATTTGACAATACTCCCTGGTAGAGCCAAGGTTCTATTCCTGGCTCTTGTAAAGGCCAAAATTATTAACTCCGTTTGGTGCCGTCACAAGAATAGCAATCTTAATTGACCTGCAGGACAAAGCATGCCCAAGACACTTGAAGAAATTACTGCCAGGTTATCATTAAGCCCACAGAGATGTTATTGCCTGCAAGCAACAGAACACGGGAGACAATTCTGTTTTGGACTTGTTTATAGGAAGGAAACAACCTGATACAGCTGCATTGGAGGAGCCGCCTAGAGCAGACACGCTGCATCAGCTCATTTAATGCAGCTTTCAGGACAAAACTTCACTCATGTTAATCCTGTTCTGTGCTATCGTTTCATCCAACTGAACTGAAGTAAATATTGCAGGGCCTGCGTCTTTGCGCTAGTCTGATCAGAAAACTTCAATTAAGTCAACACACACTCCCAATAGCTAATATAGTCCTTGGAACATCAGCATCTAAACCTTTATTTTAAATATGTACTTTATGGAAAAGCAGAGAATTTTGCAAAGTGCTACTTACCCAGTCTACCTACTCCTGGGACTCTGCCTAGAATTCCAGAGCATTTCAAACTCCTGGATGGCTACTTACTTTCTTTTAAATCATGGCTATATATCATTAACTGGAACTGAAACTGGGACATCCAGGAGAGAAGAAAACTTCACTGTTGCAAGATCTAAACTTTTTCCTAATCATGGACATCCTATGAAATTTATCAGCCACAAAAAGAGTACACAGTGATGGCACGCAGCTTGAGAAGAGAGCCTGCCACATTGAAGTATGTGCTAAAGGGGCTTGCAGGATGAAAAAAGACCAAACTCCCTCCACAGGGAAAGTTGTCCTTTTAATGTCAGAGATTTCAGTTTGTAGGAAATAAACCACAATGACCATGATCCTGGAAGTAAACACTAAAATCTATTTGTAAAAATTATGAAGATAAAATACTACACTACACACTGGAGTTTTTTTTTTTCTCTTTTAATTTAGCAGTAACAACATTTACAATATATTGACTCACAGATTAAGTGAAGGTATGAAAACACATTCTTCTTATTGTGATGAGAGAGCCTAGATTTTTACTTTTTAAATAGCCTCTCAAAGGGGGGATAATTTCGACCGTCCAATGAATGTCTTTTGAAAGAAACAGTGGCATAAATTTCAATTTTAACAGTGATGATCGTATTTAGTGAGCCTTGTCCATAGAGATCAAATGCTTTGCAAACAAGTGCAAAGCTCAGAACCTCACTGTATAGATAAAAGAGGAAGGAAACTGAGGCACAGTGACGTACAGTGACTCGCCAAGTCAAGCAGCACACAGTAGAGATGTGGGCATAAATCTCAGGTCCCTCACTCCCCGTCCAATTCCTGACTCACTGGGCCACCGTCTCCCAATAAGCGTATATGGTATCTACCGTCCACCAGAGTTCATATGTTATACAGACACGTCTTCCTTCACGTCTCCTGCTGTCCCATTGGCTCCATTCAACCCTGCCGGCTCCCTCTCTTGTTCCTCTTCCTCCTCTTTTGCTGTCTCTGCTTCTCTGCCTCCGCTCAGGAGGGTGGCACTGGAGAGGTGGCTGAGGAGCTGGCCTTCCCGGCGAGACTCAGCCAGTTCTTTGGCACAGCACACAGGAGTGTTGGTCTCATAAGTGCTATGGAAGCTGTTATAGTCGACTTCATAAAAATCCTTCTCCAGGGTGAGGACAGGAGTGAAGCGATGTCCCCACAGCACCTCGGTATCCATGTAGGAGCTGCGAGCCTGGCAAGTCATCCCTGGGTAGAAACAGAGGGATGTTAAATGCTAAGCTTTGATACGTGCTCACCCCACCACTTCCTTTCACTTAAAAGCACTTTTATGTTATCTCCATACCTGATTGCTCTGAGACACAGAAAAGTTCTTCGCTTAATAAGTCTCACAAAAGCCTCTCATGAAAAAGCTGAGCACTCAAAGGAAAAGGGGTGGACTCATCTCCGCATCTTCAGAGTGTTTCCTGAACCTTGCGCTTATAGGTTTGAGGTCTGGTACCACTAAGCAGCTTCTCTCTGTCCTCATATTTCTCTGTTGAGGCGGTGTTTGCGTGGCTGTTACTGACTAACAGCACTTCTGGTTAATCACGTGCTACGATGACATCCAATCCTGCCAATGCACCTCTAATCCTGACCCACGTGGCCTCTAAATAGACTGAACCCACTGCCCTGCCAAAGCACCTGGCTTCCTGTACTCCCACTTTGTCCAACCCCAGATCCCTCTTCAGTTACAGCAGTACCAGCTACTCCCCTCCTGCACTTGTGCTAGGCACTGAGTCATAGCCTGGAAGGTGGAGAGGACCCCAGCTCCTACTGATTTCTATGGCAAGAAATAATGGCTCATAAATACCTTCGGAGAGTTGGCTCCAACTGTACAGGGTTGGCTGAACCAAAACCCACAACATCACACAGTCCACCTCATAAGCTTATTGAATTCCATGTATTATTTGATCTTGGATTGAACGTGGGGAATATGAAACTGATTTCTGTCAAGCTTCTTTTCAGCCCCAAGGATGAGGTTTTGTTTATTTACTCAGGGAAAGTTTAAAGAGAATCTTTTCACAGCGGAGCAGGGATAAGTATTCAGCGTTGGCATAGCTAAATACGACTCCCTTTGGGATTGCCTGACGTCATCAAGGCTGTCTTCCCTTCCAAATGTTTCTCTTCTGCTTGTCCTCAATATGTTACGCTTTTGAAATTAATTCTGGCGAAATTTGGAAAGCCTGACCTCACCAAGTCCTCCCACCGTTCTCTCTTGGAGCATGAGAGAGAGGTCTGACTGAAATACATTCAAAACATACACTTGATCCAGTTCCCAGTCAATGCTTCCAAATCTGAATCCTGCAGCCCAAAGCACACAAACAGAAATCTAAAGCAATGCAGAGAGGAAAAATACTGGTGTCAGTTGCATTTTTGCTTCAGAGAAGATCATATATTCTCACTAGTTGAGCCCAACTAAGTGAATGAAGTGCCAGCATAACCAGCAAATCTGCACCTTTTTGCAGAGACGAATATTTTGCTCTCCTCACTGCTACAGTCCATTAAAAGACACCCACACTAACAAGATTTCCCGAAGGCTTTACTTCTCTCTTGTGTCTTTGCTTAGTATATAGTTGCTTTTGGTTCTTGAAAGAGGAAAAGGGGGACAATGAGACATATAACACTTTGAGAATTTTCCAGTTCTGTTTTGCAGACTGACAAGCCAATTTTTTCCCCCAAGGAGATCTGCAGAAGTACTTGCTTCTGGGCAGGAACAGCAAGTACAGAGTTAGTCAGAGTGTTCTAGCGTGGCTGCTTCCTCAACTGGCAGGAACTAGGAAGTGCAGAGGCTGCTATGAAAAACAAAATAATGGAAGAGGAAAATTACCCCAACTGTCCTTGCCTTAAGGAGTTGTTCTATCGAGGTACAGCAGTTTTTCAGGCAACTATCAATCAGCTGCGTATGAGCAGAAAACAGTATGGAGACTGCTGCCAACTATATGCTTCAAACGACACCATGATGTACACCATCATCCAGAGAGTACCCTGCCATGGACTCCTCAGTCCTGGAGGATGACTACTACTTAATCTTCCTTCCCTTACACCAGCTGGCAAATAGCAGCTCAACACACAGGCAGCTCCTGGGGTCCTACTAACTTCTGAGTCCTGCTATAGTTTTTCCTCAGGAGACCCGTGTCACTTACACTCATCATACCATTTGAACTCCATTTGCAGAGGCTTTTGTCACTAGCTCTTTTGAGGGTCAGTAAAATAGATTTGCAGGGCTAACGCCAACGTGCTTTCCGTGCATCTCATCACCTGATGCTCCCTCATGCTGGGAGGCGAGTCCTAGACAACCAGCAGCACGTGTGTGTATTACGATAAACAGAGTTAAACAAACTTCCTCCTCTTTGGCAGAGCTGGGTTTGTACCAGAATTCACAAGGGTCTTCATGACTCCCCCAAGCTCTGAGTACTTTCAAAGCCCAGCAAAGACAGCAGGAGAGGAGGTCACTCAGGACCCACAGGATCAGTCTTGTAAATGAACAAGCTGATCTTACCATGGCCTTCCAAGTGCTGCATAGAAGTGTCCTCTAACGGTCCCCAAGACCAAGAAGAGAGCACCCCCGCTAACATTAGAGCCTGAGACACCTTGAAGGGAACCCTTGCCCTGTAATCGGTATCTGAAATAGCTCCTTTACCTAGGGGACAGAGAACCTGAACTCTGCAGACACGATCACAGCTGTCTCCTGTGGTAAGTATTCAATTAAGAAAGGAACAATAGAAGCTTTCATCAACCAAATACCGCAGAAGCTTTCATCAACCAAATACCGCACACTGCCAGCTTCCTGCAGTAGCTGCTTTTTGTAACCCCAGGGGTACCTAGAGCCAGCACAATGAGACAACTTATAATTGCTCCATAATCCCATTCAAATATTCCTTTTTAGCACATGTGCAGTGGTGTTTTAATTGCATGGGGACATACCGCTTGGCAACTCCCACACCACCCAGTAAACAGCAGCACTGTCCCTGCTGCAAATTCCATTAAGTGTCTGCTTTGCAGGCTGCCCTGTGCTCTCCAGCCTGGTTAATTAATGCATCTGTAACGTCCCTGGCTAATTATTGCTTCTGTAACCAAGAAAAGACAACAAAGGAGGTGTGGAAACAATAAGCCTTACTTTTACTAAGAGCATATGGATGCAGCTGCTATCCGCTCGAATACAACAAGCACTCTGCCTTCTGTGCGCTGAACGTCTTAAGTTTCAACTCGCAGTGCGGCTGAGTAATTCAGGAGACTAATATCTTTCATATATGGCTGTGGGCGCTCCGTAAACATCAGTAGTTTCATTTCATAAGCCTTGCTTATACTAGAGACCCAAGCCCAAGGGATCCAAGGGACGTCATGGGTGCAGTGAATCCTTATACAGTATGCTTACATCCATCAAGGACCGCAGCAACTTTGCCACTGCTCTTCTACTTCAACGCAGCAGCACTATCTTGCACACTCCTGCTATAGCTGCCTGAAGCACTGACATCCAGGAGAGTGCAAGAAATTGAGGGAGATTTCAAACCCCCAGAATTTCTTGGAAAAAACACCATAGTGTCATTGGTCCTGATAGAAGCTGTTCATCCTTTTAGTAAAACGGATAAAACCACACATTTTGAGTCTAAAAAAGGTAAATGTTCAGTAATATTAAAGAGGCGGTAAGTGGTATGAAGTAAAAGATGGCATTTGGTGACTTGAGCTTCACTGAAATATGCCTCATTTAAATAAGGAAAAGAATGTCTTGATTTTCCCTTTGGTAAGTCAAAGTAGATATGCTTCCAAACCAATTTGTTTTCAAATAAAAGTTACTGAGTTTATTTTTCAAGTGTATTGATTTTTCCAGATAGTAGGACCACTATAAAATTCTACTTGCTCCTAAAAAGTCTGATTTAAAAAAGAAAAAATATATTCAATGCAAATTTGTACACTGTCAATTTTAACACACATGAAATGTGAAATCTTCAACTTTTCAGTTTTAGTTACAGCCTTCTCATCTCTTAAATCAGCAGTTTAACTTTCAAACAGAAGCGTGAATAACAGAATAAAGTGCACAAAGTTGTAAGCAGATGCATCAGGTTTGCAATAAAGCTGGAACTAGTTCCAGTTTGGTTTTTTTGTTTGTTTGTTTTTTAAGCAAATCTGGAGACCAGAGGACTGTCTCCTGGTTTCAAGTTCTGCAACAAACATTTCGTAGAGTTTTAATGATAATTTCATCATAGCAGAATCCTAAGAAGTGGGTATTTGGTCTGTTGACTAGAGTCACTACATCACAAGATCAATAGCAGAGTTTGTGCATGTTCCTATCTAAGGTAGCAATAGATGCTTGTGTAAACTGCTCATTTCTGGCTTCCAGTAGATGAAAAGATGCAAAATATATTGCTATGTGTATAAACCCAGACGTTTCATTACATTCAGGAACAGGCAGAGTCACTGAGGAAAGACTGGTGCGTAAAATAGGTGTCAGCAAACTATACCAATAAGGCACTTTTCTGTCATCAAAATCAGTCGAGATCAAGCAGCTTACATTTTATCAAAGACAAAGGAATGTTAATGTGCACCGAAGAGAAGCAGTTATTTGATGGCTCACTTGGTAAGGAGCCTATTTTTCTCCAGTGTACTCAATGGGAGTTGCAGATTTCAGAACCTTTCATTGCTTGCAATGCCACTGATTATACAACTGGAACAGACACTTCTGGCTCTGCCACAGCGCTAAGAAAAGGAAAAAAATCTGCAGGAGATTGCTCCTGATTTCCAGGCCTTTCATACCCTTAGGTTACCAGTTAAAAATCAAACTTTGTTATCATAGGCTAAATCTAATTGCATCTTGCAGCTGTTTGGTTATCCAGAGATGATCTGACAGTCTCTCTCCAGCTGTTGGAGGAGGCCTATTTACGTCAAACGTACCACCATAACCAGTACCCTTACTGGCAGTTTTGCAGGAGAGGGCAAGGAAACAGGGGACCACAAAGGATGATCTACCAACCCAAGAAATTGCCACAGGGTTCAATTTGATCACATCAACAGGGTAGTCGAATCTTTCAGTACTGTTACGTGGCCTGGACTTTCTCAGTGGGTAGAGATATCCCAACCCCTGGGGCTGTCAAGACGACGTTTTCATCAGCCTAAAATTAACTCTACTCATTTAAATGCCACAGAGCTCAGCTCTAAATGATTATCTGCTGGCAGAATGTCATGTGGATGCTGACCGTAGGTTTGCTGTA